CAGGGCGCATAGTATGGCAGAGTGGAAGGATTTAACTAAGTGCACGCATGAGCTCCGCACTATTTGCACGGCGAGACCCCATTCTGTTACTGAGAGTGAGGCGACAGAGGTACGCTGAACTTGTAGAGAGGGCACAGGCTCAACAATGTCCCTCCTAAATGCAACAACTCCCAGGTCAGGTATGTAATAATACTGGACAGCATGTTTCACAGAGGGGCTCTGTACATTAACATCTGCAGATGATGTATGGCTCGTCTCTAAGTCGGGCCATAATGTTTGACTTCACGTGAACAAGGCACCACCTGCTCCCGGGCATTGATGAGAGCATGCATGCTCAAAAGGTACCCCCACGTGCAGGGCACAGTAGGCTCCACCCACACACTGGATTTCAGCAAAAAATAACAAGTATTTTTCTGTATATGAATTGTTTTAAAGGCATAACATAAAATGGGGAAATGTGCATATATTGCCAATATGTACTGAATATTTTTGTTTTTTTATTTTGCTAAGTTACAATTTAACTTGTGGATTTCTTGGTGTGCACATTTCCTGGTGTTGGGATGATGTGCTTCTGTGGGTACAGCTGTTTTCTATTTTTTGTACATCAATATGCAAAAAAAAAAAAAATCATTGTATTGACCTTGTGACTTTTTGTAACATGCAGATTGGTTAGGCCAAGCAAGTTTCGACAGAGGATATTCATCTTAATCTATTTATTCCTACTGATACACTGGTTTGGTTCCAGCCAGGACCTAATTCTCTAGAGTCTTAGGTTTTTATATCCGTACGTGTTTTCCATGACTGTTTCTCTTTCTTCTCACATATTAGCAACATATTGGCGGATTAACTGGCTTCTGTTATAAATTGGATCTAGAATATATACGAGTGCTTGGGACATTGGACTGTATTCTCCATGGGTCTCTGAAGAGCTGTAGAGTATGTTGGCACTGTCTGAATGCCATGAATAAATACTACAAGCCTTCGAGAAAAGATCTCCATGAAACACAGAAAGCTGGGAAAGCAAACTAGAAACGGAAAGAGTCAAAAGACTTTTATGCAAATTTATACTAGATAAATGCCATGGGAAAATAAACCAATGTTTTTTGCTTTTTCTATAACTGTAACCACTGTTCCCTTTAAGATGGCCCTATATATAGCAAAAACCAATATGGGACAATATCTCTAAACTGAATTATTTGAGAGTGTTAATCAGATTGTTAACCATACACGAGTTTTAGATAGCGATAACATTTTTGCAGGCATACACAGTAATAAAATTTAGGACAAACATAGCAGCCAGACAGCTTCTAGCTGTAATATACTCTGCCCCAAGCTAGAAGATGTTAAAATGAGTTATTGCGAGCAAGGCTTATACAACCCCACCAATATTCAGAACCAATATTCATACAGCTGTAACCTGTATTCTAGAATACGTAAAAATTCTAGACATTTTGGTATTAAAAGATAATATATATCTTTTAAATACAGTTATGTGAGTAGGCCAGTATTGATAGGTGGTATGAACTATACTCTATCCTGTCATGTGTAAGTGAAAAAACTATTATCAGGGGCCCCCTGTGGACTGCTATGGAATGTGTACTTACAGCACAGGCAATTGGTCGGAAGGAGGTCATTCTCTCGACATGGTAAGCATTGCTGCCACTCCAGGCTTCCCAGCGGGGATACTCTCCTCTTTCCAGCACAAACTGCTGACCTTGGAATCCTAAGTGCTCATAGCCGACCCAGCTGTGGGAATAGAAGGCAGACTGTGATTACATTGCATGTGTTAGGAACCTGTATTATCTTGCAGGTTTAAACTGAATGCATAAGACTAACATTTTATGTGTTTTTTATTTTTAATTTTATACCTTATGTTTTATTTTTAATGTTTAATTCTCCAGAGTTGGTAAATTGTTAAGAGCTTGCCATTTGTTGTGATGTGTAACTGAATATATCATTATTGTAATGTTATGAAGCAGATACCACTGTATTAAGAATGAAGAAATAACACATTGTAAAGTGTGAATTCCAAAGTGCCTTTGCAGATCGTGCAACATAGATTCGTTTTGCGCTGCACAATATAATGGTATAAAACAGAGAAAAATATCAGTACATATGCAGAAGCCAGTCTTTCTGTATTTCATACAGACCTGCTTGTCTTATGTTTGTCGTTCTTAAGCTAAATATACAAGGCAAAGTTAATTAAACTAGATTACTAATATGGAAAAACAAGTATGACTTTGCTTAACCTAACAACGCATTCCCACTTGATAAATTAATTATTTACAGTTCTCAAGACATAATTTGGAATATTGCTATACTACATTATGCACACAGTGTATTTAATAATTATTATTATTATACAGTATTTATATAGCGCCAAAAAGTTTGCTCAGCGCTGTACATTACAATGGGAGACAGTACATGAGACAATACAGTAACAATACAATACACAAGGGGTTCAAGGGCCCTGCTCCTTGGAGCTTACAATCTAGGAGGGAGGGGATAGTGGTACAGGAGGAAATGGCTGTGGGGGATGGAGTGGTAGGAGGAGTGGAGGAGATCAGCAGTTAGGTGAGGGCGGGGTAGGCTTCCCTGAAGAGATGGGTTTTCAGGGTGCGCCTAAATGTGAGGAGGGTAGGTGACAGTCTGATGGATTGGGGTAGTGAGGTCCAGAGAATGGGGGAAGACCTGGAGAAGTCCTGCAGTCGGGCATGGGAGGAGGAGACAAGGTAGCTAGAAAGTAGGAGGTCTTGTGAGGAGCGAAAAGTACGTGTTGGGTGGTATTTGGATATCAGGTCGGTGAGGTAGTTTGGGGCTGTATTATGAATAGCTTTGTTCGTCAATGTTAGTAGTTTGAATTTTATGTGTTGGGCAATTGGGAGCCAGTGGAGGGAATGACAGAGGGGGGTGGCAGATACGGAGCGGTTGGTAAGGTGGATGAGTCTGGCCGCAGAGTTCAGGATAGACTGAAGCGGGGATAGTCTGTGATGAGGTAAGCCGGTGAGGAGGGAGTTGCAGTAGTAGAGCCGTGAGATAATGAGGGAGTGAATGAGTTGTTTAGTAGTATCTGGGGTTAGGAACGAACGTATTTTGGAGATGTTGCAGAGGTGGAGCCTGCATGAGTTTGCCAGCGATTGGACATGGGGCTGGAAGGACAGATTGGAGTCTAGAGTGACACCTAGAACTTTGGCTTGCGGGGTGGGACTGATGGTGGAGTTATTGGTCGTGATGGAAAGGTTGGGGGGTGGCGCGGGCTGGGGGGAAAACTATGAGCTCGGTTTTGGAAAGGTTTAATTTGAGGAAGTGGAATGACATCCAGTCTGATATGTCGTTCAGTAGGCATGTGATTCAGGCGGAGACTGAAGGGGTGAGGCGAGGGGTAGAGAGGTAGATTTGTGTGTCATCGGCGTAGAGATGGTAGTTGAAGCCGTGGGAGTGTATCAGTTGGACAAGGGAGGAGGTGTAGATGGAGAAGAGAAGGGGCCTGAGGACAGAGCCTTGGGGGACCCCAACAGACAGGGGGAGAGAGGGGGAGGTGGCAGCGTTACAGGTAACACTGAAGGAGCGCTGGGATAGATAGGAGGAGAGCCAGGAGAGAGCGGGAGTCTCTGAGGCCAAAAGAGTATAGTTTTTTAAGGAGGAGGGGGTGGTCAACTGTGTCGAAGGCCGCGGAGAGGTCGAGGAGTAGGAGCACTGAGTAGTGGCCATTAGCTTTGGTGGTTAGCAGGTCGTTGGTGAGCTTGAGTAGCAATTAACCACATAAATACATTCATTGTATTCTAGCAGGGTACTATAGATGTAACAAACATTCTGTTTAGTCCTCATGCGTACTGGGCGTTTTAATAACGCTGGTAGCGTTAAATGTATACTTTTTCAGCATTTTTTTGTGTTTTTGCATTAGCGTTTTGCCACATTTAGCCAATTTTTCCATGTTAGCATTTTTAAAAACAAATAAATAAGATTTTGGTTAAAAAAAAAATGCTCAAAACTGCTGGTTTGCCAGCATTTTACCACGTTTTACCAGCGTTAGAGTGTTTTTTTTTCAACTAAAAAACTCCTTCAGATACTATTAGTTCTGGGGGTAAAAAAACGCTCCTGCCAAAAAAATGCTGAAAAAAGCCTATGTGTGCATGGACACAGGATAACATCCTGGGGAGTTTACTGTCTGTAGAAAAAAATGGCAAAAGCCAAAAACAGCCGCTGTAAAAACGTCATTATAATCACAGTGGTTACAGAATAAGGTCTGTATTTTAGTAAAGCCATTCTGGCATTACAATAGTCCAACTACTGAAGGCAGCAGTCGGTTTCCAGGCAGAGCTGCTAACTTGCTCATTCTAGCTGAACCCTCTTCCTGTCCAAGAGTGTTTGGCAAATGTCATGTGAAGGTTTATTTTTCCTCATGCATTAGGCTCAATGCATTCTGGGCGTTTTAATAACGCTGGTAGCGGTAAAGTCACGTTAAAAACATTTTTCAGAGTGTTGCTGCGTTTTTCTGCGTTTGCATTGTTTAGCTTTTTTTTACAAAAAAAAATATTTTGTTTGCTCAAAAAAAGTCCAAAAACGCAGGTTTGCCGCATTTTTCAGTGTTAGAGCATTTTTACAGCTAAAAAACTCCCGTAGAAACCCACTAGTTCTGGGGCTTTTTTTCTAGCCAAAAAAGGCCACTGCCAAAAAACGCTGATTACAGTCTATGTACACATGGACACATAAGATAACATGCTGGGGAGTTTATTGGCTGTAGAAAAAAAGGGCAACAGCCAAAAACAGCAGCTGTAAAAAAAATCCAGTGTGCATGAGGACTTAACCACTTCCTGACCATCCTATAACAGATATACTGCTACAGGACAGCACGGGGATGCAAAATCACGTATATATATATATATATATATATATATATATATATATATATATTTTGCATTTCCGGGTAGGGGGTGCAAGCGCGCCCTACCCGCACCACCATTCGCGACCACGGCTGTCAGTCACAGGTTCCCAGCCGGTGATTGCTCGCTGCCTCCGCCTGGTGATTGCCGAGCATCTCGGACGAGGAGGAGTACTGTATGTAAACAATACAGTTCTCCTCCCTGTCAGCTCGTCCACACTACTTTGGATGGCTGTGCACATGTACACATAAAACAGCACACAGTTAACCCTTTGATCACCCCTCATGTTAACCCCTTCTTGCCCAGTGCTATTAGTACAGTGTCAGAGCTTTTTTTTTAGCACTGATCACTTTATTGATGTCACTGGGGATGTCAGTGACACCAAGTCAGTTCCACCCAGTGTCAGAATGCCCTCCGCAGTCTCGCTATAAGTCACTGATCGCCACCATTACTAGTGAAAAAAAAAAATCCAGTATCTATACTGCCTTTTATAAACGCTATAACTTTCACGTAAACAAATTAATTTACATGTATTGCGATTTTTTTTAGAAAAGACATGTAGCAGAATAAATTTTGGTGTAAATTTATGACGAAATTAGACTTTTAAAATTTTTTACTGGACATGTTTAATAGCAAAAAGTCAACAATATAATTTTTTTCTCAAAATTGGCAGGCTTTTTTTTTATAGCGCAAAAAATAAAAAAAGCACAGGCGATCAAATACCACCAAAAGAAAGCTCTATTCTTGGGAAAAAAGGGACGCAAATTTCTATTGGGCGCAGCGTTTCATGACCATGCAATTGTCAGTTAAAATAACGCAGCGCCGTAACGCAAAAAATGGCCTGGTCAGGAACGGGGGGGGGGGGGTAAATCCTCACGAGGGCAAGTGGCAGAACCACGTCTAGGCTATAGACATTTAAATGTTTACATATTCAAATTAAGCAGTAAATAACCAGTTCATGACCGCCCTATAGCAGATGTACTGCTACAGGGTGGCTACTTTGTGCGAAATCACGTATATATATGTGATTTTGCATTTCCTGGTTGAGGGGGCGTGCGCGCACTCCCGGCAAAGGTAACAGCAGTCACAACAGAAGCCGATCAGCGGGTGCCAGTCAATTGATGACAGCTGGCACATGCTGATTGGCAAAGAGAGAGAGAGAACACAGCTCTGCCTATGTAAACAAAGCAGAGCTGTGTCCTGTTGGCAGCGATGTGCTGGATTTCGTTTCACTGCAAAGCAGGGAATAAAATCCAGTACATTACCTAGTAAAAACACCACATAGAAAACACAAAATCACTGGTTAGGCACACCGTTACCTTTGATCACCCTAGATGTTTAACCTTTTCCCAGCCAGTGTTATTAATACAGCGACAGTGTACATTTTTAGTACTGATCACTGTATTAGTGTCACTGGTTCCCACAAAGTGTCAGTGTCAGATTGTCCGCCGCAATATCGCAGTCCTGCAATATTGCCACCATTACTAGTTAAATTCAGTATACTGTACACACCATAGTTTGTATACAGTATAACTTTTACGCAAACCAATCAATATATGCTTATTTGGGATTTTGTTTACCAAAAATATGTAGCAGAATACATACTGGCCGAAATTTATGAAGAAATTAGATTTTTAAAATGTTTTTATTGCATATATTTTATAGCAGAAATTAAAAAAAAAATTGTCACCATTTTTTGTTTATAATGCAAAAAATAAAAAAAACCCAGCGGAGATCAAATACCACCAAAAGAAAGCTCTATTTGTGGGGGGGGAAAATTACATAAATGTAATTGATGTACAGCATTGTATGAGCACGCAACTGTCAGTTAAAGTTACACAGTGCCTTATAGCAAAAAATGGCCTGGTCATGAAGGGGGGGGGTAAATCTTCCGGAGGTGAAGTGGTATATCTTTAAAAACAAGCCCTTACTGTCCTATGTAGCTACCAGCATTCAGTATTCATCCTCAAATTTTACAGCAAAACATTTTCACTTTCATTTTCCATCAGTAGCTCATTTTGCCGTCACTTATCAGCAGTGACTTGCACCTAGCAGCCTTCCGTCCTCTCAAGGAAAACCCAGGAGAAGGAGAGAGAGAAAAGTACCATGAATCAAACTGAACGGCTTCACCACTTTATTTGTGAATTTTGAGGATGAATTGTTGCATATTGATACAGCAGCAGAGGTCAGTGGGGATTATTTTGAATCTTATTTACTGCTTGTTAGGCATATGTAAATATTTGAATGTTCATAGCTTGGCCACAGTGCTATTTTAAACTTGTTTGATTCATACTTACGCTCCACTCTCTATTTTTAAATGAGCGGACAGTTTCAAATCCATATTCCATGATATTACAGCACTCAGATGTAAACTCGTGTCTTCGGCCCTGGAAACATTCTTCATCCCAGACAATAATCTGAAATGGAAGCAGTTAGAAGTCAAAGCATGAGTCACATGATGATACAAGGACAAAAGTGACAGACAGCCACAGAGCAAGATGAGGGCAGTGAGAAAGGTATATAAGATTTCCCCAGTGATGCTCCTGAATGACAGAGGAAAAACACCAGTGCATAGCCAGTAATATCATTTGTACAGTTGGTCTAATTAAGCCTTATGTCATGGTGAGTCTGGAGGGTAGTTTGGGCTATCAGCTTTTTCATTTTCCTTGGACTTTTATTGAGCAGAACATAATGCTTTTGGAGATATAAATCTAAGGCAGACCTCAGGGAATAAATGTCTGCATGGAGTAATGGTTTACAGCAGCCTGTTTATCTGGAATCGCAGTGTTGTTTGCTAAGAATTATGGGTAATGATGGGGTAATGATAGCTGACCTAGTAAATTATGTATGTGGCAAGTACTTTCTATATAGTTATGGTTAAAATGAAGTATAGGTCTCTATACAGTATTTAAAATATAAAAACAGTATTAAAACTGATCAGGATAAATGTATGTCTTCATCCCACAGGGAAAGTGTGAAATGTGTCATTTACTGCTTTAATTGGACAATACTTGAAGGACCGGACACTCTGTTATTATGCCATTGGGAGTAGTGAGGATTCCTTTTCTAAAGGGAAATCATTTTAAATAAACACTTTGATGCTTATGACCTGCAGCTTTTAGCTTGCACATTTTGTCATCTAAATTGAGGCTGTTTTTTGGGGGTCCAAAACCTCATGTAGCCCATTATACTGTGTGTTATATATTTATAATACTGTGTGTCTATTATAATAATATATATATATATATATATATATATATATATATATATATATATATATATACTTTATATCTCTCAAACATTATGACCAGTCAGTGTAAGTGACCACAACAAAACTCCTTCAAAGAATTGTACTTCCCTGGCTGTTATGTTGAAGGCTTTTTTACTTCAGTTACTGCATACAAGTATTTTGATTAGGAATTCTGACTTTTGAAGCATGCCCATTATATAAGTGTAGAAGCCATAGACAGCCAGATAAAAAAGGTCTGCCTACATATTTCTCTCCGTAGAGTACATAAAAAAAATTATCTTTCAGTTATGGGTGGAAGAAAACACACCATTGAATTTTATATCTTTGAAAGAATCCAGCCCTGCTTTCTGGCTTTGTTCTTATCAAAACTAGGCAATGTTACAAGTGTCTTCTAAAATGTTAACCATGTGTCTGGTGTGGCTTTTAAGAATATTAGCCATTCCGAGTGCATGAACTGACCTGGAGATGGATATAAATGTAATTCCCTTAGCTATGCCCAATGGATCGGTGCTATTTTAGAAGAAGCTAGACTGGTGGTACTGCACATATACACTGCCTGCCTGCAATGAGGAAAACATACTAAATATGGATCAGAGGTCCTTAATGATATTTATCAAATTGACATGGGCAGAGGGGCTGAAATATGGAGTTCTTCTAAATGTACACTTAATATTGTAGGTTTTATAAATGAGGCTGTTATTGCTGTTCTGTTTTGAATGTTCTGGCCTCAGGACTGTCTCCACCCAAGTCTCTTAACAGGTATAAAGTGGCAATGGGAAATGTAAATAACAAGTATGAACTGTATGTTTGACACTACCTGGGATCAAACCCAAGATATATTTGATTTGTGCTCCTTGTATTTGCGCTGCTCTGTTCCAGCACCTGCAATAATCCAGTCTAAGCCTTTATATGCATATGTACTGCATATGTTTATTGTTTTCTTTTATATTGAATTTCTGTCTTAGTGGATTGTGGCTATCACCTTTTTTGCCTCTCTTACTCCAACCTGTCCGGTCAGTGTTGTTCATTGTACCAATTCTCAGTTTGTTTGCAACTCTGGTCTTGTTAATCCTTTGTAGTGTATTTCTTGTAATTTTCCATGGTTACTTTCCCCTTTTTACATCTTGTTTCCCCTCTTCTGTGTGTTTCTTACATGGAGTATTACGGGGCAGGTGAGTGGCTGTTTTTTAAAAGTCAGCAGCTAACGTTTTTGTAGCTGCTGACTTTTATTTTTTTGCAATGTGACTGGAACTCCACTTTAATAAGCCAGACACAATCTGGTAGCTGGTAATTATATTTTTGATATGTCTACCTTGTTTGTAATTTGAACATTGTTTTTGATCCTGCATGTCTGTCATGTTCCCCTGGTTTCTATTCTATACCTGGTATAGTATGTATTTAACCCCTGTCTCCCAAGCCACAGCCCTGAGACTCTCCTAACCTGTATTCCACAATCAATATCCCACTGACCATTCCAATCTACCAAAAAAAAAAAAATGGTGGGGGTGCTGAACACTTTGACTTGACACCTTGTAGAGGATTTGAGTGAACTTTCAGCTTTGAAAGTGCTCATTGCTACCTGGTACTTTATATTACTAACTGTTACATACTGGTAAGTCAAGAGTTTATTAATAGTCTAAGGGTAATGGACAGGAGATTTACTGCTGAACAATGAGAAAATATCTACCAAGTTATTCAAACACCAGGAACACTCATTCCTCCATGAAGGTGATTGCAGTGCAAAAAGGGTACTTTCCTCTATTACTATTCTATCAGGCCAACTTTCAAAGAGAATTTCCTTTAGAGATGCTTATTACCCACTCTCAGGAGATCAAAACTGACCAAATTGTTCAATTTTTCAAATTGGGAGCATTGCTTGTTGTTATATGGCTGTTTATTTCCATACTAAGTGCTGAATGCTTGGGTATCCCATTATGAATGTGTTAAACCTGAACTAATTTAGGCCTTCTTCAGGCTTCAACAAATCTGAATAATTTGGAAAACAGCTAATAACTAAGTTCATGCACCTCTGAAGGTTTTGTTTTGGATGAACACTGGGATCCCTTGGCTGAGGTTCCCAGTCTGCCTGCACAATACCTTCAAGGTCGGTGCTATCATCTTTAATTTAAAGCTGTAAACATGTTTGAACTACTCCTTAACCCAAATCTCCTTTTACTGAAGCAATAAAAAGGTATGATATAATTTCTTAATTTTGTCTAACAAGATGGTTTCGGTCAACACTGAAATTCTCTTTCATGTTTTTAAGTTGGATATATACGGTCCTGCTGAGTTGGTTGACATTCAGCACGTGTGTACATCTGTCCTTCAGACAGAAGCTGGTCTTAGGACCGACTTTTGTCAAAGGGACATGCTGGAAAACCAACATCCAATCAGCGCTGATTAATATGTGTGTGTTCTGTTGGGATGGGGGGGAGGGGCACAGTGGGAGAGATCACTGTAATAAGAGTGCTTAATTAGTACATTGATCTCTTTTTGTTGGTCCAGGCTTTACTCTATACAAGAGTCCTAATTCAAGCCCAGTTTCTGAAAAGTGTTGTTGTTATTGTATGGTATACTCTTGCATGTAGTATTTCAATGCAATGCTAGATACTGTATATAATACTCAGGAATTTAAGTGTAATTTCAGAACAAAAAGTTTTGAATTTTAGACACAGTGAACACAGGGGGGAAATACCTTCCAGTGGCCAGCAAATTTAGTACAATGTTGACTCATAGTGGCTCTTTTCTGTGGAAAAAGAAAGAGAAACATTCTTTACAAATTGCTAATATATTTTTTTTACATTTATGCACTTACAATGTATTGTCAAGATATGAATATATACTTTATATGTATTATAGTGCATTGCTTTGTATTGTTTTCATGTCTTAGCATTATAGCACTCTTTCCTGGCTTGATGAAATCAATTTAATTAAATTTTGGATGACCGTACTCTGTTTGTCTAGTGCAACCTTTGCCAATCGTTTAACCCCAAGAAACCCTTGAAATAATTTTTCAGGGCTAATGGAATCCCAACTAAAAATGTTTATGCCTACAGCACATGTGACATAGTGTGATCAGTAAGTGTAGACAGGAAATAAGGATTGTGGTGTCCCAGAGTATTGGACACCCTGGCTGTAAAAAACAAAAACATTTTCAGTAATAATCTTGAAATAATATAATAACAACATCAGAAAAGAAGGCAGAAGCCAGTTGGAAATTACCCACAGCTGATC